ACTCGACCAGTACTGATATGTTGCACTCGACCAGTACTGATTTGTTGAACTCGACTGGTACTGATGTGTTGAACTCGACTGGTACTAATGTGTTGTACTCAACCAGTACTGGTATGTTGTACTCGACCAGTACTGACATGTTGTACTCGACCAGTACTGATGTGTTGTACTCGATCAGTACTGATGTGTTGCACTCGACCAGTACTGATTTGTTGCACTCGACTGGTACTGATGTGTTGAACTCGACTGGTACTGATGTGTTGTACTCAACCAGTACTGGTATGTTGTACTCGACCAGTACTGACATGTTGTACTCGACCAGTACTGATGTGTTGTACTCGATCAGTACTGATGTGTTGCACTCGACCAGTACTGATATCTTGTTCTCGACCAGACCGAGTATGTTGTACTTGACCAGTACTGATCTGTTGTACTCGACCAGTACTGATATGTTGTACTCGATCAGTACTGATGTGTTGTACTCGACCAGTACGAGTATGTTGTACTCGACCAGTACTGATATGTTGTACACGACCAGTACTGATGTGTTGTACTCGGCCAGTACTGATATGTTGTACTCGACCAGTACTGATATGTTGTACACGACCAGTACTGATGTGTTGTACTCGATCAGTACTGGTCTGTTGTACTCGACCAGTACGAGTATGTTGTACTGATGTGTTGTACTCGACCAGTACTGATATGTTGTTCTCGACCAGTACGAGGATGTTGTCCTCGACCACTACTGATATGTTGTACTCGAACAGTACTGATGTGTTGTACTCGATCAGTACAGATGTGTTGTACTCGACCAGTACCGATCTGTTGTACTCGACCAGTACTGATGTGTTGTACTCGACCAGTACTGATGTGTTATACTCGACCAGTACAGACAGGTTGTATTGTTCCTGCTATAAAAAAGTACTGTCGGAAATAGAAAAAAACTGTATTTTCTCATTTATCTCTACAATTTATGTAGTTGATATGTGAAAGTGTGAAATATTTGTTAAACTAAGTTCGGCCTAACTACAGTTTTGGTGGTAGAGAGCTAGGAAACGGAGAAAAAGGACTTTACTGAGGGGAAATTAGTGCAGAAATGAGCAATGCAGTTTTTTTCGAAGTCCAAAAAGACTTATTTGGAACAAACCATGGCTTTATGCAAATTAGTGTGCGACGATATTGTATTACAATGTATTACAATCTGAAATTAGACGTAGATTCATTATAAACGATAGCTGACGTAAAAAATAATAACTTTTATGCCGAAACTATTAAGGATGTAGCTGCCATGCAGTCTCACTGTCACTATGAAAAGAAACAGATAGGAGGGGCCGTCTCAAAGCAAAACCTGGGGTCGGGCTTGGGGATAGAGATATCAGCTAAGATAAGATAATCCTTTAGGGCAATTATACTGGGGAGGTACACGGCATAACAATTTACAAATAATATCCAGTCCTGTCGATCTTCGGGTGGTCATGCCACCTATATACTACGATGCGTTTCTATGGTTTTCGGGTATCATACTCTTTTACATATCTCAACATAAACTATATGAAACTATATGAAAGAAAGACACGTAAGATGTTAATCAATAGATGAGACATAGTCATCACACATGAAAAAGCCCAAAATATCTTTGAGATGACCCCTTGTGCCTGTAGGCAGCACGTGCATTTCATGCCAGGTGAGTCGACGGTCCGTCGTCATACCTGGCTGAGCGATCTAATTGCCATCTATAGTCTGATCTATTGTTTTCAGCAGCTATTCGTATTCTTTCTAAGTTTTGCCCGATTTTACGAGTAAACATGTTTTTCTGGATATCGTACTACACATCCCACTGAACGCCCAGTTAGGCCGAAGTGGGTTATTTCGACATATGCTATTTGCAATTGTGTAAATTTTAGGGATACAGAGTAACAGCCTAAAAACAGTTTTTTTCTATTTCCGACAGTACTTTAAGATATATTGTGTTCGGGGATAATTTGAATACACAGTGCTTCCTGCCCCAGTTCCGGTATATCCATATATGCAAACCTCCAAATTTCCTAGAACTTCGCAGGGAAGGAAATCGTGCAATATAATTCATAGTTCAACAATCTATTGTTTTCAACAATCTCCGTGCAATTCGCTTTGATAACGCTATCAGTCATTGTCGTACAGGTATGTTGGGGTGGACAAACAATTGAACTGATAACCGCCACGCGTCTAATCTTACACATGAACGTGAATATCAATATATGTTTGGGACTCCTAAATTAGAGAATTGCTAAATGTCACACATCTACCGTATTGTCTCCAAAAATACCCGGTCGGAGGCAGCATAAACACAATGTTCTCCCGTGAACCGTTGTCCGAAACAATCTCAGTGCTAAGGTGATCGACTATACCTTAACATAGACCTCTTATGTTGCGCAACAGCACCCTGACCCCGGTCCAAAAACGATCCTAAACTATGATCATATGCTCATGATGTTGATCACTGGATTGTCTGGAATATTGCTGAGTATAGCCTTGAACGACAAACAAACTATAATTAGCTATATAACTACACGTATCTGTGAAACTGTTTGAGGTGAGTTATATGTCATACATTTCTAAAAAAGATTGCTAATCTACTTCAATTGAATATATCTATGGATTCGCAGAAAACACAAACATGATTTAAAACCCGACTTGTTAAAATGACTCGTGGTTTGTATTTTCGCTTGGAGATAGCGCAATGTATTTTAAATGAGGAAGTACGATTCTTCAACATGAAAAACCACTGACATCCATACGACTCGCACACAATCCAATAGTAACTCTCCTGATAAGTACTGTATCTTTTTGTATACCTTTTCAGCTCCATCTTTTCCAGATGAAACATTCTATATTTTGCGGGTTTTTTCGGAGGGGGTGGGGTCCGATTTCATACTAAATGGAATTGATTTTGGGCGTGATTTGATCGTACAGGAATTTCAAAGTATATGGGACCTGATATGGGTCTTGATCAGGTCACCCTAGGGGGACTGGTTTAATCCTGCCAAACCTGGTCTCCAATTACCTTCGGGTTTAGGACCCGTGAAGATCCGGGGTAGAATAGGTCTTCAGCAACCCATTCTTGTCATAAAAGGCGACTATGCTTGTCGTAAAAGTCTACTAACGGGATCGTGTGGTCAGGCTCGCTGACTTGGTTGACACATGTCATCGGTTCCCAATTGCGCAGATCGATGCTCATGCTGTTGATCACTGGATTGTCTGGTGCAGACTCGAATATTTATAGACCGCCGCCATATAGCTGGAATATTGCTGAGTGCGGCGTAAAACTAAACTCACTCACTCACCTTCGGTTTTGGAAACTTGTTGATAATGTGATATGCGCATATTGGATGAAATACGGTAGTTGTAGCGACTTAGTCTCCTGGTCGCGATGATTTGAACACACAGTTGCGACGCAGTATTGTTATTATCATTATCAGACTGATAGACGATCAGGTCGCGTACGTAGCGGACAGCTACTGTGAGCCGTCCGTCAGCTCCCGAGCAGTCGGTATATATTACCGGGTACACGTGGGTCACTAAATATTGACTGCTTCATGTAGATAGATCACACAATACATTTACAACACTTCTACAACTGCCTCAACGCGTATTGTTCTTTGATGTTCACGTAGGACGCTGTGAGAAGGAAGTAAAGGACATATCCAAATGCTCCGTGCATCAATTTTTAATTTTTTTCTTTGTTTGTTGTTGTTGTTTGTTTTGTTTTTATTTTTGTTGTTTGGTTGGGTTTTTTCCTTTTGTTTTGTTTTGTTTTTGAGAGAGACAGGGAGAGAGACTTTAAAATATGTAGCTAGTCTAGACTTCTGTAAATGAAGAAACTCTCTGGTCTCATTATGAGAGAAATAATACCATCAGTCCATGTATTCTCCATGTATGGTTTTGCTGCATTATTTGGGTGGCTAAGACTTAAAAGAACATCCGTGACAAATAAAGTACGAGCCAGTTGAACCACAGGCAAACTGTAGCGCAAATAGGGTTGCACAACAAAGAGAAAATGACCAGTCTTCCTTCGCTCGCATGTAGAATGACTGGCGATTTTTCTCTCTGTTACGCAGCCCTATTTGCGCTACAGTTTGTCTGTGGTTGAACTCACAAGTATCATCATGTATACAGAATGTACAATATCACAGATACGAATAGGTCATTAAATATATCAAATTAAGTACAACATATATGCTGTACTGAATTTCCCCTCAGTATATTCGCAACACGTGAGTGAATTAGTATGGGCTTAGAGATATTCCAGCAATGTCACATTGGGGAACAACAGAGATGAGGGTATGCTTTAACCACCAGGCCAGTGTTTGCAATTAACCCTGAAAAGCTGCAGGCTCTAGGGACCCAGAACCATTAAAAGTTCAATTTTAGGTCCTGATCAGAATGTGTATAGGCCCTATATTTTAGATACAATATAAGTAATCCCCAGCAAACAAAAATGTGACAACTAACAAAATGAGTTAAAGAGTTTAATTTCACTCTAGTGACTGAATTGTCTTCATATACAACACATTATGAAAACTAGAAATTACTGAATGGTATTTTCTGAAAATTAATACCCTTAGTAACTGGGTTGAAAATGCTGCCGGCCATAAGGACCTTCAGAAAATAACAGCTGTGGAACCGAGTGGTTTTCAGTCGGCTTCGGGCCTAAGGACTCACGTTAGTTTCGAACGCTGCACTAGGCTACCCAACGGCCCCCGTAATACATGAGAATTTTTAAGTTTAGGCTTCAATATACGTGTTGTATTTCAACCAATTTGTAACTGGTGCGATTTAATCGTTGTGACAAGCACATGTTTATTCGTAATGCACGTGCTTAGATTGAATGGATAAGCTTAGCGTCTTGTCAGTTAACTATCAACTGATTACAGGTAGTCTCCTGTTGAAACAGTAGCCTGGCGTCATAGAATACTTTAAACAAAGGTAACGTGGTGCTGATTATCTATGTCATATTTCAGCGGCTTCAACTTCCGTGAATCCAACAGGCAGCACAAGTGACCACTCGGGTACCACTGACCACTCCGGCACAACAGACCACTCCGGAACCACTGACCACTCCGGAACCACTGACCACTCCGGAACCACTGACCATTCCGGAACCACGGACCACTCCGGAACCACGGACCACTCCGGAACCACTGACCATTCAGGTAATAACGATGTCCTTAGCGTTAAGAATAAATAAGATATGTCATAGAGGGTTATTGAATGAATCTCTCATTATCATTGTTTGTCCAACTGAAGCTGTCTGTAGCTACTAGAAGTTCTTTGTAATTATTGATGAAAATTCTTTAAAAATCCACTTCACGTGTTGCCAGAATCTGCAGCTTATTTTGAAAATTCTACAAAATTCCATTTAAAAAAAAGAACTCTGACGCCATAAACTTTGAATTCAAGTTAGAATTGGTTTTCAGCAACCCATGCTTGTTGTAAGAGGCGACTAAAGGGTTGGGGTGGTCAGGCTCGCTGACTTGATTGACACAAGTCATCATATCCCAAATGCGTAGATCGATGCTCATACTGTTGATCACTGGACTGCCTGCCAGACTCGATTATTTACAGACTGCCGCCATATAGCTGGAATATTGCTGAGTGCGGCGTTAAACAACAAACAAGCAAAACCGCAAATAGCCATTTACCGATCTACACCACGGCAACAGACAGCCTCAGGGGCGGTGGGGTAGCCTAGTGGTTAAAGCGTTCGCTCGTCACGCCGAAGACCCGGGTTCGATCACAGGCCCTCGTGTCTTTGCGAAAATTAAAGATTAAAAAGAGGGGTTTTATTAGATGACCCCCAACTTGAAATGCTACACAGTACAATACATGTCATAATGTATTGTACTGTGAAGCATTTCAAGGCGGGGGTAATCTCAAATGTTTTTTTTTTTTTTAACATCTTTAATCCTCGCAAAGACACGAGGGCCTGTGGGTTCGATTCCCCAGATGGGCACAATATGTGAAGCCCATTTCTGGTGTCCGCCGCCGTGATATTACTGGAATATTGCTAAAGGCGGCGTTAAACCAAACTCACTCACTCACTACAGACAGCCTCAAGTTGGACCCTTGAAATGAACTCGAACGTCTCTATCGAAAAAGATTAAACAGGATGTATGTCGATATACATTTCATAGTTTTGTGGTTGATGTCAAAAGCTGTAAATAATAAATGCTGTGTACGTAAAAATTAGTTATAGATATTGGTGTATACACTACTAAAGTTTTGATAGGGATAATTAGATATGAGATGTAAAAGTCTGTATTGAAATATACTATTCACACTTTCCTAAGGATCAAATCATGGATTCAACAGAGAACTATTAAGTGGGGACAAATTTGGTTTAAATACCTAAGCTTATTTAGAGCTGGATCCTAGGTTTCAGTATGTCATTGCATCTTGTGGATCCTATATCTGCTATTGACATGTGTTGTTTATTTGTCAATGACTCGTTCCATGATTTGCAAAATGGTTGACTGGTGCCATGAAAACCATTTTCATGGTTACTCCTGTATCAAGTGCATAAGGTTAGATTAAAGTGACTATTTGCCTAATGAGGGGTTACCATATTATTATTTATCCAGTTTTAAATGGATTCAATTTCAAATTATAAATCTACGTTTAAGTAAAGTTGTGAATTTTTGTGATCCTTAGCAAAGTGTGAGTAGTATATGAAAAAGTCATTTTTATGTCGTGGATACAGACAAATATCCTAAGCAAACGTGGTGTAGTATGATTATGAATTCCATACCGTAGAACCAAACCTTGCTAAAGTTGCTGTCATAAATCATATGGAGATTCTGTTATATTAATGAATATTACATGATTATGTCTTTTTATTTATTTATTTATTTATTTATTTATTTATTTATTTATTTATTTTTAGTGTTAGTGTTAGTGTTTTATATTCGTATATAATCAAGAACTACTGATATATTTTATCTGTGAAATGTCAGCACCTTCATTCAGTTAGTTTTATGTTTGTTCTTTTGAGATTTTTATGCACAAAGCTTATCTTCTCTTTTGTTGCTCCGGTTAAAGTCTTGCTTACAACTAATTCATCTGTCTTTTTGACAATTCCCTTTCTTTATCACCTCTGTAGCCGACATCACTAACACTGTGTATGCTCAGTCTTCGTGTTAAAGTAACAACAGAGTTGTGTCCCTTGGCACGCTAAACGACACTGCAGTGGGTCCGACACGGTTCGCGCCGTTTCTAGGTTTGCAAGCATGGTGCCTCTACATTTCACCAAAGTAGTTCACATCCAAGACTCGCAAGTCGCAACAAGTCGGGCCTCCCTTCCTCATTATGCTGACATAACTGCAAGGATGTTTAAAGCAGCGTTATTTAAAGCCTACTCGCTGGTTCACGGACTCACTCTTTATACTTACTAACCTGTTCGGGTGCACTTAGCAGTGGTTATTTGTCCCGCGTTATAACCTTTGAATATAATTCCACGTTATGGCATGCCCATGCATATACGACTACGTGGCCTAGATATAAGAAATTCTTTATGAACAATCCGTCCGGGGCGACGAATTAGTCAATAGAAACAGGTCTGTCTGGTTTAACGCTCAACCAGGAAGTATTATTACTACAAACAATGACCATATGCCGATGTATGGTCTCTGCTACAAAGGTGTGTTCGTGACTTCCCTGTTACGCCACGTGACACGAGGTCACAGTGACATATGTAGGTAATACAATGGACGTATTTTACGCTATTGAGTTTCATTGTCACTGCCGTAGACTATCTTTTACCAGTTGCTACAGGTTCTATTTTAGACTAACAACTAGTCTCTGAAATGAACATATTTTACTGAAAAAAGTTTATAGTAAAACAATAATATATATAATGAAAAGGAGCCCTGGGGAAATCTAGACTTGCCACATTTTCTAGACTTGCGTGGGCTTTCTTGGATATATTTGCTTCAGGGTCTGTACGACAGACTAGTTCTATTTGTACGACAAAAAAATGGCAGTGTTCAATTGTGACTGGCTATTGGATAATCAATTGGCTTCCGAAAATACTGAATATATATTACGTTTTCGGCAGTCCTCAGCGGCGTAGCTACCATGAAGAAAAGCCCGGGCTTACACATGATTGTTGCTGAAAAGGTTGCGCAAACCCTCAATACTGTCTGAATATAAAGCTTTGCGACCTATCGGGTTTACACGAAACAATTAGCTTCCTACGCGCCTGGTCCTATCTAAGACCACCCTCAATTGGCCACAGTGACATTTGTGCGACAAGAGTTGATACAATGGACGTATTTTACTCTGTTGAGTATCATTGTCGCTGTCACTGACTAGAGGTGGGTATTGCAGAGAATTTTCATATTGCGATATATTGCGATGCGAAAGCATGTATTGCGATATGTATTGCAATATATTGCATGAAGTATTTTTAAACAAAAAAACTACTTATAATCGAGTTACTTCTTGATTTATAGGGCAAAAACACAACAAAATCACTAGGCTTGATTAAGCTTTAATAACAACTTTTAATCATGATAAAATAAAAATGTGAATAATATTTGGCACAAATGAAACAAGGACATATCCGAAGATTTCCGAGTGTTACGAAGTTTTCCGAATGTTACGAAGTTTTCCGAATGCAAGTCAAACTCCGGTTTTCGATCAGCGTATCGCAATACGTATCGTTTTCATGTCTGAACCGGTAAATACCGGTAAACCGGTTATATTGCGCAGCCCTGTCACTGACTATGGTAGATTTTCCTACAGTTTCTATTTGTACAACAAAAATACACATTTGTTTTTACAAGATTCAATCGTGAACGGTTATTGGAGAATTGGTTTCTGTAAAATACTGAATATGTAGTGCTTGTTTTCCGAAGTTTTATTTCATACTTCCAAAAAGTACAATTCATTCAAATTTGATTAATTGGCCACAGTGACATTTGTGTAACAAGTGGTAATAAAATGTACATATATTTCGCTGTTGCGTATCTTTACGTGTCGCTGACTATGTTACACCATACCATTTCCTATAGGCTGAGTTTTACAACAAAACGTGCTGGCAGTTGAAATATGTTACAAGATTTAATTATCAACAGGTAATGGATACTTGCAGGTTTCCGAAAATACTGAATATTATCTGCTTCCGGCAGTTCATTTTACGGCTCCTACAAAATACGATACACAGTGGGCACAGTGACCGTTTGTGGCAAGATGTGACATGTACGTTTAACTTTCATCATTTTCTTATATAATTACGTCATTTATATAGGTTCAACAGCATCGAGTCCATCCTCGCCAGCAAGTAAAGGTAGCATAGCGTCGGTCTGAAACGACCACACCCACGTCCTACACCTGCATAGCTTGTGCATTATTTATGCGTTTTTGAAGTGACAATTTCCTGATTTTCCACGTAATTATTATATCGTGACGTTTTGATTGACGTCTTTCAACTTTGTTATTGCATGTCTAGGGCCAGTGGGAGGCCTGGGGGTATACAGTTGCTTGCGCAATGTGACCTTGAATGCGGAAGTTAAAATATTTCTTTGTTCATCGCACAGAGCCTTCTTTGTCTATTGTGCATGTAAGCACACGCAACTAACCCACTGCGGTGAAATTGTCATTTCGGAACAAGTTTGTGACCTGTAATGCATATATTCCATATAACCATGGCCTTCTTGTTTAATCACTTGGTTCGCTGATACACTCCCCACTGGATCGATGGGCGATAGGTGACAAAATTATATGAATTTTCAAGCAGCTTATTTTGTTTGTTTGTACTCAGCAATATTCCAGCTATATGGCGGCGGTTTGTAAATAATCGAATCTGGACCAGACAATCCAGTGATCAACAGCATGAGTATCGCTGTACGCTGTGTCAACCAAGTCAGCGATCCTGACCACCCGATCCCGTTAGTCGCCTCTTATGACAAGCATGGGTTGCTGAAGACCAATTCTAACCTGGATCTAACCATGGCATATACCCATGAATATCCTGGTTTCCAGGAACCAGGCTTGTCGCAAGAGGCAACAAATGGTTGTGTGGGTAGATTGCTACCTTATTTGAAGCATGGCATTGTATCCAGATTGCCATCGTAACCCGATGCTTGTTATGCCAATCATCGGATTGTCTGGTCCAGACTTGATTATCTATTTACAGATCGCCTTCATGCATCTGAGGTATTGCTGAGTTTAACGTTCAAATAGTAATGATAGGAAAAATACCCCCAAAACATGTCGGTAGACAAAGTGCTTAAACACAAACGCCAATACAATAACATCAAAATCTCATTGCAATGACGCTTGGTTGCACTGACGCTTGATTGCACTGAAGTTTGGTTGCACTGACGCTTGATTGCACTGACGTTCGGTTGCATCAGGGATACTCTCTTGATTGCACTGAAGTTTGGTTGCACTGACGCTTGATTGCACTGAAGTTTGGTTGCACTGACGCTTGGTTGCACTGAAGTTTGCTTGCACTGACAACTGGCCTTCCCACTACTACCTACGTGATACACACTACTTCCACTGTAACACATACATTCTCCATTCCAGCTGGTGTGGAGCTGCTTGTTTCTTTCAATGCATACTACTCAAAATAAGTTAGAGATATGCTGATCTTGTTCACGACTATAATTTGTCTCGACCCGTAACAAATTGATGATGGTAGAAACATTATGAAATACTCTGGTGTTCTTTAACTTTTTTCGAGTGGTATATATTTGATGTTGCTGGAGTGACCGTGTATTGTTCTCAAAGGGATTTCTGTGTCCGGCGATAGTGAGACAAGTAAAGGGTCTCTCTCAAAATGTGAATGTTTAGGCGATGGGCATAAAAACAATTCAAACATATAACTCAATACGTTTTAACGTATCATAACTGGTTGATTGGAGAAATTACATAGGGAATTTATGCTGGCAGGGAACAACACCGTTTTGATTGATTAAACAGAGATGTTAAATCACAGAAAACTGACCTCTGATTTAAACAGAGATTTGACACCTCCTATGGTTCTCCAGAGATGGCGTTTATTTTTCTTGTTATCATGAAGATCAATATCCGGTCGCTCGAACGCAACATCCCCGACCTTCCTTCCTTTCCCACCTGTCTTAATCGCACTGGAACGTTGATGGTGGATTTCGACAAAGGTATTGTATGTAGGTTTATTACTATAGATGGCACTTATTTTAATAAGTGGTTCACGAAAGCAGCTAACGAAACGGTTTCACTTACCCATTAACTACGACAGGGACAACAGAACCCATGACAACGCTGAACGGGACCACAGTGAATCCCAACGTCACTACCGAGAATCCCAACGTCACTACCGTGAACCCCAATGTCACTACCGTGAATCCCAACGTCACCACCGTGAATCCCAATGTGACAACTGTGAATCCTAATGTCACTACCGTGAATCCCAACGTCACCACCGTGAATCCCAACGTCACTACCATAAATCCCAATGTCACTACCGTGAATCCAAACGTCACTACCATAAATCCCAATGTCACCACTACCGTGAATCCCAATGTGACAACTGTAAATCCCAACGTCACTACCATAAATCCCAATGTCACCACCGTGAATCCCAACATCACCACTGTGAATCCCAACGTGACAACCGTGAATCCCAACGTCACTACCGTGAATCCCAATGTCACCACCGTGAATCCCAACATCACCACTGTGAATCCCAACATCACCACTGTGACTCCCAAAATCACGACCACCGCCATCAATCCAAACAGTAAGTATCAACAATCGCACGAGCCTTGTAACCAGCTGACTGTTTCGTAACTTGAAAATCGAAGTTCATACAGTTGTAAGATAATGTGACTTTCAAAGCCAAAATCAGTGAATTTAATCCATGACAGGATCTGCTGATCGTCGTCGCGTATCTGTTTACGCCCCGATTATGATCCTTGGTCCAACTTGGCAGCACAAAATGTATCGGGCAGTGGGGTAGCCTAGTGGTTAAGGCGTTCGCTCGTCACGCCGAAGACTCGGATTCGATTCCCTACATGGGTACAATGTGTGAAGCCCATTTCTGGTGTCCCCCGCCGTGATGTTGCTGGAATATTGCTAAAAGCGGCGTAACACCAAACTCAGTCAGTCATGTATCGGGCAGTGGGGTAGCCTAGTGGTTAAGGCGTTCGCTCGTCACGCCGAAGACTCGGGTTCGATTTTAGTGTACCCCGCCGTGATATTGCTGGAATATTGCTAAAAGCGGCATAAAACTTAACTCACTCACTCTTTGATTTATCGCACAGGTAGAATCTTGTGTTCACAATGGGCTTTTTGTGTTTTGAAGGCCTTTACCCACCAGTGCCTTTCGTAATAGGAAGTCGGGTGCTCAGGCTCGCTGTATTGATGATACATGTATTATGATAATTATTAGTGATGTGAATCACAGGATTGTCTGGTCCAGACGCATTTACATACAGACCGCCGTTAAAAAAGCCGAAGTATTGCCGAGCGCGGCGTGAAATATACTGGGAAAATGTGATGCAACTGAAATATAAAACTGTTCGCTGAGAAAATGGGATGCAACTGAAATATATAACAATTGTATTGTGTACATGATACAATACTGGTCGGACTCTTATGTGAAGTACGAACATGTATGTAGGACGTCCATATTGTTTAGATCGTTTTCTATACCCATGAACCGTATGACGCTGCACCTGCTCTCTTTGCTGCATCCCCGCCCCATTTGTTTGTGAACCTTTTAGATGCGGAAGAAAAAGTCCATCCGCCACACATCCAAACATAAGAGATACGTTGCCTGTACAATTCCTAATTTATTAATTGAATATTATTTACTATGCATCTTTGTTTCAAACATGCAAATGTGAAAAATGAAAAAATGTAACTTTCATTCTGATAAGTTTATTTCTGTTTGTAGTGTTCACATTTCAGGTAGGGTCCAGATATCCCTATGTTCTTCATGCTTCCAGAATTCAGCTCAGTCTCCAGGAGGCAGGGGTGTCCCTGTTGTCTTAGGCAGCACAGAGTTTTGTCCCTTTTACACGCCAGAATCCTACGATCGTGGGTTTGAATCCCGAATTTTGTCTGTAGGTTTGGCAGCACCACGCCCGGGCTCATTTTCAGGATTTCATCCAACAATACTCGGGGCGTTGGGGCATTCAAATGGTTAAAGCGTTCGCTCGTCACGCCGAAGACCCAGGTTCGATTCCCACACGGGTACAATGTGTGAAGCTCATTTCTGGTGTCTCTCGCCTGGATATTGCTGGAATATTGCTAAAAGCTAAAGTAAAACTAAACTCACTCACTCCAACAATGCTCCGAATTATCGTGATGTATCTAGAATAATGTTTAGACTCAACTCACTCACTCTCTAGTCGGGGCGGTGGGGTAGCCTCGTGGTTAAGGCGTTGGCTCGTCACGCCGAGGACCCGGGTTCGAATCCCCACATGGGTACAATGTATGAAGCCCATTTATGGTGTCCCCCGCCGTGATGTTGCTGGAATATTGCTAAAAGCGGCGTAAAACCAAAACTCAGTCAGTCACTCACTAGTCTAGTGGTTAAAGCATTCGCTCGACACGCCGAATACCTGGGTTCGATTACCCACATGGGTACAATATGTGAAGCCCACTTCTGATGTCCCCTGCCGTGATATTGCTGGAATATTGCTAAATCAAAGCTGCGTAAAACCATACTCACCCACTCACTCACTCACTTGTCTAAGTTTTGTAGTTCAGTTAGAACAATAACAAAATATTTCTGATTTTTCAACAGCGACCACAACTCCACGCCCGAACACAACACCCGAAACCCACAAATTCGACGGCGGCTCCTTCGTGGGTGGCATAGCGCTTGGTGCCGGCGTCCTTGGCCTTTGCTTCGTGGTGTACAAGTGTTACGTCATGCGCAAAGCGGGAGGCAATAGGTATGACAAGATGACATAGACGACCAGTGCAGTGTATATTTGCGGAACCGGAAGTGACGTACACGAGAAGTTATAGAACACCGATTTTTCAAAAGACTATCGTTGATATGTTTTAAAGAAAACTTGGGTGTTCTTTAGCTTCAGTTGATTGATGTATGTCGTCAACAATTAGAGTAGTATATACCATCAACGAATTTAATCAAATCTACAAAGGCTGACGAAAAATTAGCCATAGGATTACGGGACATATTTTATAAATTGTTTATTTGAATCATGAGATTTGAGAAGATACATGAAAATCTGCCCCGAAAAATATTTTCGTATTTTTTTTTTTGAGTACCAAATCATAAAAAGGTTGAGGTCACAGTAATCCAAGGTAAACAATCATACAATCTAAGATTTTATAACATTTTTTGGTATTTTTATCACCTTTAAATCTGACTTTCTATACCAATATAAATTCATGCAATGGTAATAATTTTGTTTATGAACTCAATATTGCGTTTTGGGATACACTAATGTATCTCCAATAATTATTAACAGAAATTCTAGTCTCGGCGGGTTTAGTGCTATACTTTCCGTCTTTCCTGTTTTTCGGTGATATTATTTGAGTCACGTTACTCTATATCATGGTGACATTTTTGTGGAGCCATTAGACAGTGTCATGTGTATTCCACGACAGTTTGGGAAAAGATCGTATTTAGATTAGATTATATTTTTTCTACTATTTCGTGATATCAGTGTGTTACACACTTGTTAATTCCACTCAGAACATGTAATATTTGTTTGTTTGACAAATTATTATATTTGACAAAATACATGACAGTCATACATAACTTTGCCACCAGACAGGGAGAAGTTAAAATGTACTATACACTCGGTGTGAATATTGCAGGGTGTGCTGGTTGTCGAGCAACCAACACTGCTTGAGTATGGTGACAGTTTGATTAACAACTGAAGAATATGATTCTGTCTATTTAACACTGATTTGATAACGAAATATAGAATGAAAAGAATTCGAGTCAAAATGCAAATACCTGCCAAAAATACTCGACCGAACGCAACCACTGGTTCATCCCATGCACATGTAACACATGCCAGGTCGGTGTGTAAAAATGGTTTTCCATATGCAACTGAGCAAACTGAAAACTGGTGAAGGAGAAAATGCTATGCTTTAATTACATGTCATATCTCCTGCCCATCACAATATTGTGTACATTACTAGCTTAAGACAATGCTGCCTGTCGCATATGCCAAGGGTGTTAGTTGTATTTTGCACCCCGACTTGTGTAAATAAAGATATCGTATTTTGTTCCTTTGTGTATACCTATGTTCATGTTTTCACACAGACAACCGCCATACGCTCATTTTGATTGAGCGGGTTGACGAAGGTATTGTATGTGACGGCCATCTCAGCACTTTCGATTTCTTTACTAAATTTATCTGCTCGCTTTTTAGTAACGGTTTTCATCCATGGAAAGCTCTTAATGTCTTGCCCTTGTAGTAGTGTTAACCATGAGCGGATCCATCAGGCGGATGAGCCTTTAAGCCTATTCACCGGCGTTTAAAAACCAGTCTCTTCGTTCAAGAGGGCAGAATTTCACTCTTCAGTGGTCACTATTTCGACTAGCCTAGTGGTTAAAGTGTCGGCTCATTCGGCACACTTGTTTGATTCCCTAAATGGTACACATTAACCACTTTTCATATGTATTCCACTCTGTTAGGGAATGTTGCTTAAATTGTATAAAACTGTACTCAAAGACCCCCCACCCCTTTCGTAAAAGCTGGATCCACTCATGGTGAACACATTCATTATCTCATTTGCAGATATCTACTCCGTACATGACCTTAATATTACTTTGTAATAATTTGTATAAGTTTTTACAAGAAAGGCGGTATATTTTGTACAATATGTGTATATTGAGACAAACGTGTACTTGGACAGTTATTAGAAGTAATTCAATACGAGCTGCCACAAGTTGCTGTAAATCGAGTATTTGATGGTACAGCTTGTTCAGCTTGACCTGAGCTACTCTACATATGCATGACGCGGAAGGTCAAAAGGCACAAACGGCAGGTCAAGTTAACTTCATTAAAAACGGGAGCAGAGAAGGTTATTAATGCCTAAAAGCCCGAATCGGAAACATTAAACCATCTCTAGCTTCCCTTTTAAAGATAGTTAGGACATTGCTGACGATTTCTCGACACTGAGATGTCAAACTGCGACCTTGTCTCGGCTGTTGACAATGAACTGACAAAGGGGCACCCCTTCACAATAATGGACCCAACCAGTTGTGACACGGTCACGCAGTGCATTAGTATTCACTTGATCAGGTCAAGCTGAACAAGCTGGAGGTGTCAGTGGAGTTTTCTCCCCTATAAGTTCCTGACGTACAGCGCACCAGGATCCCTTTGTTTTATATGTAAATAAAGCTGAAATTGTTTTGAACTATCTTGTTTTCACATTTTATAATAACTTTTTATAACTCACAATATTTGTTCACAAAACGCTTATAAATATTTGCTGAACAGCATACACTGAATTAGCAATAACTTTAAGCTTATTTTGTTCTGTTCTGTTCATTGATAATTACAATGATGTATCTTGCGTTTAATATATTCACCCTTTGATCACACTAATTTGCATCAAGATATACCAGTATCTTGTTTCACCGTCTAACATCATGCATTAATGCTAATCCCGCAGTGGTGTTAAAGCTGAGATGTTAACATCATTTAACGCCATTATAACATCATAAAGCTGTTTCAGTACTTTCTTTCTGAAATAGCCAGTAAGAAAGTTAACTGTTTCGATAAGGAGCCTCTCGTTCCTTTACATGTTTCGGGGTGGTGGGGTAGCCTAGTGGTTAAAGCAGTCGCTCATCACGCCGAGGGCCCGGTTCGATTCCCCACATTAGTGTGAAGCCATTTCTGGTGATGTTACCGCTTATATTTGGAACTTTCTTCAACTTTAAAAGATCCATCTGAGGGAATACAATTGTGAGAGGAATTATGTTTCATTGGATCTAATCGATTGTTATTGTATAATATCCCACTAACTGGGTTTTTCAAAATTATGTTAGGGCTACGATAATCAGCTGAAACGGTGATTAATGTTTGGCTGAAATGGCAGCCCCGGTATATGTAATTCAAGCCTTTCAACGGCCTTTCAACGGCGTGGCCATATCGGGACTGGAGACACTAGAGTCTTTACCAAAGCCTGTCTTTAATAGCTTCAACGAATAGTATTATGATTGTATAATATTCATGTTATGTTTTTCTGCGTGTGAAAGCTTGCGGCGTGAATGTGTTTCATCTGCCATATATTCATGCATTGTAATGTTTGACTTCGGCCAAAACGTACAAGTGGAAACGTTATTAGCCTTTAGTTTGAATAACCCATGTACATACTGCCTGTGGTTGACGCGCAGTTCACAGATCATCATTACCCAGCGTATAAAATCCCCATCCGTTTGAGTGGCGGTGGGAAGCCCAGTGGTTAAAGTGTTGGTTCGTCAAGCCGAAGACCTAGGTTCGATTCCCCACTTGGTTACAATGTGTGGAGCCCATTTCTGGTGTCCCCCGCCGTGATATTGCTGGAATATTGCTAAGAGCGGCGTAAAACCATACTCACTCAATCACTCCATCCGTTTGATAGAATGGATATGAGACGCTGGATAATACAGACTGCGTCAGACCCTATGTATTTGTATTTGGAATGATATTTGTACAGTTTGAGAAAATATCGGAACATGTTAGTTGGTAGATGCTATTTCACTGGTTTATGGAGATTAAACGGATGCGATTTCCACACATATACTCGTATGGGTCTCTAATGCCTTCACCACTGAGTGAACTGTTGTGTTTCTTATTCATATTCGACACGTTGTTACTTTCACAATCTACCCATGATTAACAGACAGACCATTTGATATTTGAGATGGGCGTTGAGGTTGGGATTAAAACAAAAATTAATTTGGCCTCCGTGGTTGTTTTTTTAAAACAAATTTAAAAAGACAAATATCATTGTGATCAAAAATATTGTGTTTATTCAGCTTAACGAACCTTCGAACACGCACCGGTAGCCTCGTTGTTAAAGCATTCGCTCGTCACGCTGAAGACACGGGTTCGATTCCCCACATGGGTACAATGTGTGAAGCCCATTTCTGGTGTCCCCCGCCGTGATGTTGCTGGAATATTGCTATAAGCGGCGTAAAACCGTACTGAATCACTCGAACACGCACCCCACACCCTCTATCCAAATCGCCTCCTCCAGACCCACCCCGAATAATTAAATGGACTGTCCCTTGGTGATTTTCACAAATGTCTGTACAAATTGTTGACATGACCCTGAGACTGTTTAAGGAAGTTTGTTCTTGAAGGTCTGAAATATCTTTATTGATAACAACTTCCATATTCCTTGTAACGCCGTATCAGGACTGGGCTCGTTGAGCAGCCTTGAGGTTAAAGCGTTTGCTTGTCACGATAAAAGCCAAGGGCCCCGTTTCACAAAGCTCTCGTAGGCCTAAGAACTCTTAACATTTCTCGTAGCATTCGTACCTCCTATGTTACAGTATAACATGGGATCTAAAGTTACCAGATCTTAGCCTTACGAGAGTTTTGTGAAACGGGGCCCAGTTTTGTTTCCCCACGAGGGTGCAATGTGTGGAGCCTATTTCTAATGTCCCCCGCCGTGCTATTGCTGGAATGTTGCTAACAGCGGCGTAAAATTATACTCACTATAAGACTAGGCTTTTTCCTTCATCAGGATCGGGTGGTCAGACTCGCCGACTTGGTTGACGTCATCGTATCCCATTGTTTAGATCGATGTCCATAATACTGATCACTGGATTGTCTGGTCCAGACTCGACTATTTGCAGACCGTCGCCATATAGCTGGAATATTGCCGACTGCGGCGTTAAACAATCAAACAAACAAATCATCAGGTTGGAAGTTGTTATCAATAAAATAGTGCCACTTCTTCATTTTCTTTCAACTTCTGAATCGTTGTCAAAGTCTTACGTCTATATTCGTCACATGTCTGCAATTAGATTCAGATATCTCTGTCGTATCATTGTTCAGATCCAGGTATTGTGATTCAAGAAAGTGTGTTCATTTTGTACTGAATCACAAACAGAATCTGTCAAGACGCTATCGAGTTGTATCTGTAATACTCCACCATAAATGACCTGTATTTGCATTCGTTGCTGAAACAAACATGACGCCAATGTCAGACTTGATATTACTTGTACATGTTTGTCAACAGTGAAGCTTTGTTAACTCCAGCCACGTTAGAGGTAGTCATCGAAAATCCATTTCTGAAACAGTTTCGGCGCAAAATTTGTGCAGCACAAACACATAACACTAAACATCGGATTCTCAGTCGTTTATATAGCAAAATAACTTTGATCAGTACCCGTGCTGATGATGTTTGTAGAATGAAAATCGATTCCATTATGACGTCGTTAGATCACGTGCTATTTTAGTAGGTTTTGATGACTACCTTTAAATCGATATATCACTTTCGACGACGAAGCTGCCAAGTTCTCGGAAGATCAGGATATTGTGCTGCTGATGTTTGTAGAAAGAGAATCGATTCAATTATCACGTCGTTAGATCACGTGGTACGTTAGGCATTCTGAGATTATATTACGTCTCGAATACCTTTAAATCGAAGCTGTAAAGTTTTCGGATGTTTTATATCTGCACTATGACCTTAACTGGACATACCGCTTGTGTCGAAATATACATTATACAATTTATTTCGACTGTTCCGAGAACTTCGAGTAACCGAGTTTTAAATAACCTTTTAACGCTTCCTGAAATCAAACCTTAGATATCGAGTGAACGAACATGTTCAATGTGTAAGCGATCCAACTAAATTAGTGCAATATTACCTTCACAAGGGCCTCTGTTGACAAAGTTGTCCAATCACGATGTTTGGAGTGATTTATTTCAGTGAAAGCTTGTTTGATTAAAACTATTTTGTTTTTTAAGCTAACTGTTATTTGATATTGAGTCATGTACATTGCTGCCAATCAATCTAGAAATTGTAACCGACACAAACAGGTCTAATATGTTTTGTATTGAACAGTCTCTTTGTTGATATTTGTTTTTTATGACATGTGCATTCCATTTCAATTCTAATCATTTGCGTTAAATGTGCCTATATGTTATAAAGTGTACATATTGGACTAAATAAAGACTGTTGACATTTTCTTAATAAAACGTTGAGATTCATGCTGCCCCTGTGTTGCCTGATTGTCTGGAAGTTGTCAGCTGGCACTCAATTCACCATCTGATTTTAGCCGGCCTGGAGACAGATTGGTCTTCAGCAACCCATGCTTGTCGCGAGAGGCGACTAACGGGATCAGGTGGTCAGGCTCGCTGACTTGGTTGACACATGTCGTCGTATCCCAGTTGTGTAGCTCGATGCTCACTGGATTGTGTGCTCCAAACTTGTTACTTACAGACCGCCGCCATGCAGCTTTAATATTGCTGAGTGCGGCGTTAAACAACAGACAAAACAAGAGCTTGGTTGCCATGGGTTGATTGTTTTCTTTCGTTTGCTTGTTGTGTAACGACGCCCCACCAATATCGAAGCCGTAGGACGGCTATCTGTAAACAAATTAGTTTGGGCCAGACAATCCAGTGATTGACATCATGAGCATCGGTACATTACACGCATCAGCCAAATCACCGAATGTGACTACTCGATAACTATTGTCACCACTTTCGACAAGCAAGGGGGCAGTGGGGTAGCACAGTGGTTAAAGCG